CTATCGTCTCGTGTTCTTTTGTATCACCTATTTAATATTAGCATTTCCGGCGTCAGTCTTGACATTTTTTAGCAACGTTGCTCAATCTGAAAATGTATTAGAGTTCAAAACTGCTTTTAGTTTTGATGATTATCATTATGCATTTAATACAGTTGAAAGATTTGATTCCGGTATAACTTTTGTCGACTATGCGAAGCCTTTGGTCGGACTTTTCGTATTTTTATTCTTTGGTACTGGTCAAGATGCTTCAGCTGCCTATAAAAGATGGGCTAGAATGATCAAATTGGATAGAATCTTTGTATGTTTCAGAGAAAATTATGATGATTTGCGTAGTCAATCACAAAAATCTTCGTAAGTATTTTATTATTAAAATGCGAATTCGTTAAATCATTAATGATTATTATTATTAATCTCTTTATATATATATATATATATATTTTTTTTTTTTTTGTTAGTCAAAACTCTACATACCAAAGCAATGGTCAAATGTCTTCAGTTCCTGCCTCTCCATTTAAATCACCAAAACGTTTTCCTCACCAATCGGATTCTTTCGGTGACGAAAAAGATGTTATCCCAAAAATCGAACTTACTACTTGCCCAAAACCGAAAAAAGGTTTTAGTAATTTATTATTTCTCGGCGGTCATCGTACACCTAGTGAACAAGCCAAAATTGATATGACAAGTGGTATTCACATTAAGATTGATGGATTAACTACAAATATCATTCAAGATGATAATGATTGTTCAATTGAAGAACCTACAACAGTTTATCAAGCAATAGATGTGCTTCCAAGAGGAATTGATGAAACTCTTGAGGAATATGATAATAAGAGACTTGACGAGCAAAATGAAACGTCAACATTTGGCCCAATTTCAAGGGCTGCTTCAATGAAGTCAACTTCGAATATTTATGAATATAATAACTCTTTTAAGCCTAAAACTGTCCAGCACGTTAACATACAACCAGATTATGTTGATGCGGACAACTCTTCAAATCATTCTTTAACAATAGTAAATATTGAAGATGATTATGTAACCAAAGAATCCAGTTAAATTAGTGATTTTTGACTGGGCTAGAATTAATCCTATAATACTTCTTGTACTTTAGTATTGAATAGAAACATTGGTGCTGTGCTATAATCTTATTTTTAAAGGCATTTTATAATTTTAAATTTTGTAACATTAGTATAATTCATCACATAACACTGTATGAAATTCATCCATTATATTTAGCATAGTAATAACCTAAGATTATCTATAATTGCATTCATTTATACATGTCTCATATATCAATTTCATTTATTCACATTTGCATGCAACGCACCTCTTATCCTGTCATTTTGCATCTTCGTTACTTTGTACATAAAATCTGGTGACACAGTTTTTTTTAAAAAAAAACAAAATAAATTATAGACCACTTTTGATAAATTTTGGAATTCAAATAATATATAGTACGATGGATATAATGCTTAACATTAAGTGGTAGATCGCAGTTACGTATAGTAACAATCAGTGGTGAATTACGGGTTTCTATTATTTTCCCGACAAACAAAATCCCGACAAAAATTGACCGGAACTAACACTAACCCTAACCTAATGCGGGCTAACTTGTCGGGATTTTGACATTGTCGAGAAAGTGGTTGTCGGGAAAATGATAGGATCCCGTGAATTACTTTTACTTTCATATAATGTTGGAATGCCGAAAGTTTCTAACATATAAAATCATATAAAGGAGAAACTCGCGATCGACTTAATAATTTTACCACTATTAATAATATTTATCAGGAACTCAAGAAAGGTTAGCTATAAAAAAAAAAAAAACTTTCATTGTAAACTAGCTGCATTCCAAACTATAGAAAAACTACATTAACTTTTGATAATTTTTACTATTAAATTTGTATTTTTTTATACCCTTTAACCGCGGTTTACCTCTAAATTTTTTTAAGTTACATGGAATGTATATGTTGTAAGTGGGGGTATATGTTGTAAGTGGGAACGGAATTTAAGATTTTAAAGTTAGTGTGTGGGTTTATATAAAATAAATTCTACCTTACATTTATAATTTTATTAAGAAACCAAATCTACTTAAGTTCTGTTCCTATTTAAAGCATTTATAATCCAAGATGATTTAAAAATTAGAGTCGACAGGTGTCAATTTAATGAGCGCTGATTGGTTATAAACGTATATGTAACGAAAATTTCCCGTGGCCTAGTATTCCAAATCGTCAATTGAAAAATCAACTAGTTGCCAACCTTTCAACGAATAAAACTTAAACAACTAATCGATTTATCATCAATTGGTTCAATTACGATTAATTGTTAGTTATCAACATAGTTGTCAACAAATTTATCAACTAAAAAACTACATATTATATAGTAATCATAATGAAAATAACGATAATATATGATAATCGTAGTATATAATATAACACGGATTATCTTAATGAATATTGTGCCATTGATATTTTTTTAAAACCTCAATTCTGTTACAATTTTATCTCAACTGTCCCATGTACAACATTAGCTAAATGTATGTTTAGTGATATCTGTATAATCGTATTTATAAGAGTGCTGCATAGCTAGCAAATTCTTGATTTTCGGAAATTTCACTACAGAAACCGGCTGATCAGAATTTTGATAAGTGATAACGATAATAAATTCTATTTAATCATATAGTATTTAATCATGTGTCGAATATAGGGATGTTATCCTGCTCCAACCGGTCAGCTTGTGCTTAAAATCCCGTTGGAACACTGTTTCGGAGCATTTACATCCCGAACTCAGTTTATAATGTCGTTCCATAAAAAAGTTTCGAATTTCTTGATTACGCAATATTGTGAAACGAGCATAATAATGGAGATTTTTAATTTTTAAAGGGATAAAATTTGCCAACGAAGATTGTTAATATTGACTAAAAAATTATCCAAAATTATCCAAATATTTGCAAACTTCTAACGAATTATAAACCTAATTTTTCCAACATTCGAAGGCGCCGTCACATGATTTCTGACCTATAACCAATTATAAATATTATTATTGTTTTTTTAAAAAAA